ATAACGTAGCAACTCTTTCTTATCAGATAGTGCTCGATCTGCATGCCAATGGCTGCTAAAGGGGATCGCAGCGTGCGCGTTAACTGAAAGCCAAATGCTCCTGTCTCTCATACCCCATTATTAGCTATTGTCATGTACATTGAGCACTATTTTTTGTTGTTCAACAACGCACAGAAGTAATCTCTTAACGGCACCACCTTGGAGGTCAAAATGTTATATTAGTTACATACTACAACGACTACGAGGGACGAACGGGTGCCACTATAAAGAGCTTCGTCCATAAAACTGCTGGAGTGGAAATTCTTGCCCAGAAGTGAAGCCGTGCCAATCGTAATTGGCGGCAGCGGCGACCATCCTATAGGGGCATCATGAGCTGTTGACGGTCAGCGATTCAGAAGGAGCGTTTTCCTCGCACGCCGAACGAGTTTAACGTGGCATTCTTTTAGGGACACATATGCTCAAAGTGCGTCTTGTGTTACTAGTTTCCTTTAGTAAGCATTGAATTAAAGGGAATCTTCATTGGAAATTACGACACCGATACTAGTCTCTGCGGAATATTTTTTTTCGGGAACAGGTATCTTTTAATTTTTAATTAACGTAGCCGATATACCAACATATCAAAGCCACGAGATATCTGAGTGGGCACACCAGAAAATAGCAGTTTAAAAGAACTTGTTGGGCTACTTGGTAGAACATTTCGAAAAGCTAATTCGAGCGCGAAAACTTGACCCGAACACTCAAACACGCACACACCTGCATCAAACACACACAGCGTTTTATGCATGGGTGTGTGCATGTGTGAGTGATCAAGTCAAGTTTTCACGCTCGAATTAAGTTTTCGAAATAAAATAGCATGTTTCTCATATCTTTGGAGGGAAAAAGCTGGCTTCACTATTGCTTGTAAAGCATTGGGAAAGCTCCCACTCTAGCATTTTTCTTAAACCTCCTTGCGTTGCTCAGTTCGTGCCTGGACTAGCAAATTTGGGCGATCCAGCAGGCCAAGCAAGCTGCCGGGAGACACAGGCTCTCCGTTGGCCCTAAGTGGGAGCCGATCTCAGCCATCTACCGAAAATTAATAAATTCTACATCTCTCTCTCTCCTTGAAGTATTCTCATTTTTTGCCGTTGTGTTGCGTTAAAAGCGGCTAATTGGCTTGGTGGGCAATGCTCAAAAGCTCAGGGAAGAGAACACCCGAGGGCATGGCCTGCGTTCTGTGGCCGCTGTCTACAGCCCCATAAAACGACAGCTAAGGAAAATACGTCTGCTTTGGGTGCCATCTATTGGCGAACAGAGTAAAAAGACAAGCGCTGCTAGAATATGCCACGGTATCTCAATGAGCGATGTCGCCAGAAGCGAACATGCTTTCTTTAGCTCCCCCTGGATAGTGCGCTAGGCAACGGCAGCAGAGCGCAGGCCGCAGGTTCGCGTGTTCACTCTCACAAAGAGCTATTGTGTTTCTCTAATAAAAAAAGCTCCAGAAGGCTCTGAATTAACAGTTTGCTACTATCTTACCTTTATCTCGATGATGTTCGTGAACTTGGTTTTTTTCTATATTGGTGCGCGTACACGACTGCTTATGAACAATATAGGCAGTGGCGATGTCTGCACCCCCGCCTTTCTGCTTACGTGGCAACAATACATATCTTGTGGTAGTATTGTCTTATACCAATTAGTGCCTAATTACGTTTACGGTAAACTGCTTTGAGGTCTAATTGTGGGACATCTGCCTGCTTGGGGACAGCCAGGCTGGAAAGCGCATAGCTAACAATAAAGGTTAATCAGGTACATTGTCTAATATAATTCCATGTAATAAACTTTTTACTGAGGTGAATAAGTTAAAGTCCTTGTGAATATGTCTGCGTGGAAAACGGCCATGTATTTACCGGACAAATGACGTAAATAATAGCGAAATACCACCACCACAATCGCTACAGGCGCGCAAGATTCACGCTGACCTCACTTTCGCTACGTTCATGAGCCTATAAAGATGACCTTCACCGGACTGTCGGTTTCTCCGTCAAAGCGTGCAATATAGGTTATAGCAAGGCAGATGGAAATGTGGGAGCTTTGCAGTACGCGTCGCAAAGCTTCGCACAAAGGAGAATAGGCAAGTCACCGCTAACCAGCCAAATCATTTATAATTTCTTCACGAAGGTCAGCTGGGTAACAACCTTTTCTTTGTGTTGTTTTTGTAAAACACGTCAGCCCAGCATGTCCCATTTTCAATAACGCATAACAATGCAATAACGTTAAAGAACTCGGTTCACAAACTTTGCGTCGTTGGCGTCAGTACCAGTGCTGGCATCGTGGGTTGTTAGTGAATAATCATCTTATGCATGAACGAAAAATCTAGAATGATGCAAATAAAATGAATGAATGTACAAAACTCCTGAAGTGGAGTGCGGACTGAACCAGGGTTATTTTTGTCCAAGCGGGGATCGAACCCGGCTCGTTCAATCACATGGCACTGCCTCGGCTAGAGAAAATAGTGAAAATAACTTCCTCTGTTTAGAAATGCAATGACAGTAGGTTTCGCGCTTAACAAACACATGCGTCCTGTATACATGCTTCACAATGCAACATAAAACATTGCAATAATAATGCGTGGTACAAGCTTTCATTGCCGGTGGGCGTGAAAATATGTGATTATAATAATGGCTTCATGGTGTAAAGCTGGTACCTGACTACAAAAGGCACACACCCTAATGCGCCTACTTCTTTAAGACCACGCAGTGGGTGCATAGAAAATTTGAAAATGTTTCATGCGCCAAGTGTTTGAAGTAAGCACTAGGAACAGAATATTATTATCGCATTCAACTCCTAAAGGCAAAGCGTTAGGGTCCCCAAACTTTTTAAAGCCTTACGCAATCTGACAGAGATGACGCCGCATCGTCAGGGCTTCCATGGGACAGATCACAACTGCTTTTTTCGGACCGCCGTCATACTCGAGCCGTGATGAGCACTATAGACCAGTGGTTTTCTCATAGATAAAAAAGTATACCGGCTGTTCTCATCAGTTTAATGTGCAGCAGTGACGTGGCTCTGTGGTATAATGTTTGCTTACTATGCAGTTAAAGGTGCACGTGAGCATGTTCTATGAGTAACTAAAGCTGAGCAATGGAGAAGTGAACAGCTGTACTTTCACAGAAAGGGACCAGCACTATCTAACTGCAAATTGGTCACCTCAGGTGATCACTTTATATCTTTTAAACTGAAAATGTGGAGTTTTCTTTCTTGCGCAAAAATTATTTTCTGCAAATGTTTCGCCAATTTTTAAATAAAACTTTCTTTTCCACCAAATATGGCTTTCTTTCTCACCAAATATGGCATTCCGTGCATGAAGGGGTTGAGGTACACACAAAACATTAGTGGCCTTCTTTGTGTCTCGTTTGTTTGGTATTTTCATCTTTGTCTTTTCTTTCCTCTTTATTCGGTTTTCCCCCTTGCTTGCGTATGTTGGTTACTATATTTTCTCTTTCTTTCATACCTTTGTCTAACCCTCTGTCTATTTGCCATACGCTTCTTCATTCTTCTTGTCTATTATGTCTCTACTAATTTCTTTTTCCTTGAACTCTCTTTCCTCGCTCTCTTTTTCTTTTACTGAGCAAGACAGCTCTCCTCCTTCTACCCTCTGTCTACTCTGACTCAAGTAGATCCTTTGTGAGCTGTCACAACGTGGTTTATTTCGACGTTTCGGCCTAGGGTGTGGCCTTCATCAGGATGGATGAAGGCCACACTCTAGGCCGAAACGCAGACTCTTCGCTGAAGCGTGAAAACAAACCACGTTGTCACCGCTCATGGAGGATCTACTTGACTATATATACATATAGATATATATAAATAAATAAATATATATATATATATATATATAGAGAGAGAGAGAGAGAGAGAAAGAGAGACTTATTATCGGTGTAAAAGTTTCTTCAAGAATTGACGCCCCGTCGCACACGTGATCAAACTCTGACTGATTCTGCTGGTGTATAAGCAACCAAGCTTTGACGAAGATTGTACCGATAGACGTTCGGACCAGGGCAAGGTGTGCTTCCTCGGCGCACTCTGTGATATCTGCGGACTCTCTCCGTGTCACTGCTATTATACACACACTATATATATATATATATATATATATATATATATATATATATATATATATATGAGATCTAACAGACAGTAATTCCAAGGATTGTACAGGGGAAGTTATTAGAACCAATGGAATGTAAATAAGAAGAAAGGAAAGTGGATGAAAAAATAACCAGCCGTGAGCTGGTTATTTTATCATCCACTTTTCTTTCTTCTTATTTACATTCCACTGGTTCTAAGAACTTCCCCTGTACTTTCCTTGGTATTACTGTCTGTTAGATCTCATTACTATTGTGTTAAAACACGGAAAACGAGCCCTTAGGTATACACTTCTTTCCCTTATTATATATATATATATATATATATATATATATATATATATTTATATTTATATATATATATATATATATAAATATATATATATATCTATATATATAGATATAAATATATATATATATATAAATATATATATATATATATATATATATACGGCGAGAGAGAGATACTGATCGTAGATATTTCTTTCAATCTAGACATATTCTATCCAAAAACGTTCGACAGTTGATGTTAGAAATTGTTTTGAACAGTTGAAATAAAACAGTAACAGTATAGTGGGCTATCGATTCATTTCATTCTTAAACGAGCAAAACCTGTTTTGCTTACTGTACGTTGAAGTGATAATTAACATTGCTGCAATGTATCGTTTGTTTTCATTTTCGGCATTATTTTTGTGTGTGTTTACCAGTATATATACAAAATTCACACATACGAAAAAAGTCATACACTGTTATCTGCACTCGTTTGGTCTCTTCTCGTGTCATGCCTCGGTTATGAACCTTATTTCCGGCACAGTCACTTACAAGTTTCGGTCAGCATAACTTATTACAAAATTTTCATTAGAGGAAAAAACTCACCTGGACCCCTCGGTGACTGACATCTCCAGGACCTCGGGTGGGGTCAGTCTGGAAATGAGTTAGCAATACATTAGGAATCTATATAACAGAAAAGTAAATATTGCAAACTATAGTTTTATGTAAATGATGATTCTTAACGGCACATAAGTTATTATGCAGTTGCCATCTTCCCGGTATAGATTTTATAAATGCCTTACATGCACTTTCGGAAAGCACGTTTCACTGAAGTGCGTTTACCATTCAGGGGAAAACAATGAAAACAATTTTTATTTACTGTTCTGTGGAGTTTTATCAGGTTTTTGGTGGTGTGTTGTACTGTGCAGAGATTTTTTAGAAAGCGTGACCACCTTTGTCTTACCGACCTGGTCTTTGATACACGTAATTGTTACCTCTACCCTTTACCGTTTGCCATCTTTCCTTCTTTTTTGGTTGTATTAAGAGACGTTCACGCGTGCGCTCTTGTATTCGTAAATTCAATTTGCTCTCAGCACGTCTACCATATCAAAATAAATTTCTGAATATTAATGCAAAACTAATTTTGTTATAATACAATATTGGTTAATTAAAAAAATTGGGAGATCCCTCGTAATGTGGGAATCGATGATATGCAAAACACGAATGAGGAAGGTAGATATGCCTTTTTAAAATCAGCACAACGTTACGAGGCGGAGGAAAATTATGCTATACAAGAGTTCATTGTCATGATTATCAAGAGTGGACGTGTCGTTTACCTTCGTCATCTATTCACGTCTATGATACAAAACTTGGTATGTGTTTAGCTAGTGACGCAGCCACGAGCACGCTATGAGCGCAGCATGCAGTCATGTTTATCAAGACACGCAATTCACGATTATCATGTTTCGACCTGTCATTTACATACGTCGTCCAATCCCGTCTCGGTATACCAAATTTGGCATATGGGTAACTAGCGAAATGGCCGCGAGCACGCATGTAATAAGTATTGTGATTTAACGTGTCATTTACTTTCTTGGTTATTTACGTCACGTGACAACAAATTTTGTGTATTTAGAGCTATTGAAACAGTCGTGAGGGCATCATAACCGTGGTATGTTGTCATGTTTTTATATAACACGCGTGTCATTATTATCATGTTCTCATCAGTCGTATACCTTCGTCATCCTTTGACGTTACTTAACACCAAATATGGTATATGTAGAGCTATAGCGAAACGGCCCCGAGTGAATCTTGAAGGGTCCATTATACACCGACTTAATGCTGACGCGTGCGCACGCTGGCCGCAGCGACGCAACGCTAGAAAACGTGAGCCCTTTTACACCAGAACACAGCGAACTCAGTGCTTGCTGCCACATGGAAAAGCGCGTGGCGCCATCTGTTGCAAGCGCGGCGAAGAAACACCCTCAACTGGCACGCGAGCAGATGCTCTGCAAATCAAACACAAAACTTCACAACCCGAGTGCGGCTGTAATCATGTTTCGCGCTGTTCTTGGGCTGGAATTTTATGCTGATTTTGTGCGAAACGTCCAGGAAGACCTCTCTCGACAGGCCGGGAAGTCTTAAGCGTGTGCATTGCAGACTGCGGAAGCAACATCATCAGGTACGTATTATCCGACTGAAAGAAACTCGAACAGCGTTATCTGCGGCGTGCCTTGGTTCTGACAAGGTAGAGCTTGTGCTGTAAGCCGCAGTGTACGTACCGCTAGAATACGGCTTACGATAATGCACCACATGTGTAGCAGTTGCCAGTCCTGCCGGGCACTCGAATCACACAAGAAGTGCAAAAGTGCCAGCCAGAACAAGATTTTATAATGCTACGTTTACGCCAGCCGAAAGCCCATGTGGATTTGCCTAGTGACAGTCAAGGCATGTCGCAGTTCGACCGAGTCGAAAGCAATACTTTCCGCGCCGTTCACATCTCTTTTCATCGTGATAGTAGGCCGATACAGTTGTACTAAACATGCGCGGTGCGTGCATTCACGCGTGAGTCGTAATACGTATCCTGTTATTGGCATGCGGCCTGTGAAAGGGTACCGGCAGCAGTTTTGTGCCGCATACTACAGGCATACTGCACACTAATCGCTGCTGTAAAGTGGACAGCTGGAGTCACGTTCTATTAGCGGAATAAGTATACTCACTCGCACACTTCACTTGGCTCGTAGTTTTCCTTGCTGATTGCGATTATATCTTATAGCACGACCGAGCTCAGCGTTTTTTGTTGTAGATGTGCAATCGCAAAACGCCGCACCCTCACGATTCGCGCGATGAGCTGTAAACTTCAAAGAAAGTCCTCAGCAATCTCTTTCTCTTGCGTTGAATGTCGATTGATATGTGGTGTTTAAAGTCCCGAAACCACCATATGATTACGAGAGCAGGCGTAGTAGAGGGCTCCGGAAATTTCGACCACCCGGGATTTTTACCTGCACCCAAATCTGCGCACATGGGCCTACAACATTTCCGCCTGTATCGGAAATGCAGCCGCCGCAGCCGGGATTTGATCGCGCGACCAGTGGGCCATTGGAGTACCTTAGTCACTAGACCACCACGGCAGGGCTCTTACGCTAGTTCACAACCGATAACAGCGCAACATCCCAGTTGTACCAAGATCCCAGTTTATAAGCGGGCGCAGCATGAACAGGCGTTTTTTCGCAGTTTAAACTCCCAGAGCAACTGCATGTCATAATAGCGGGGCGCGCCTTGGCAGTTCCAAAAATTTATGCCGTCTCTGCGAGTGAGGGAAGGCGGCTGGGACGTACTCTCGTCTATAGTCTGATTCCAGGTGCGACCAGCCCGACCAGCGTCCGTCGGCGCGGTCCGGCGGCAACTGACATGAAATGCGGCACGCTGCATTTCGCGCTGAAGACTTTACCCAGACAGTACTACGTCAGCCTCTCTTCGTGACGAATAGAGGCCGCGCGTGTGCACAAACGCGAATGCGTCAAAGCAACGCGGCCTGGCACTGCGCCTGCAGTGTACATGGCAGGCAGAACGGCGCCTGGCGTGGCATCGCCGGCGTGACGACACTAACGCCGGCGTACACGGGCGCCGGGTCACATCGCATTGAAGTGTACTGGCGCATTGAGGTTGGCATGTAGTCATGTTCTTACATCACCCGCATCTCAAGATTATTGTTTCCACCAGTCACATACATTCGTCATCCGTTCACATTCCGTAATACTAAATTTCATATAGGTGGAGCTATCGATACGGCCGCGAGCGTATAATGAGCGTGGTATGTAGTCATGTTGTTACATGACACGCATGTTATTATTATCATGTTTCGATCTGTCACTTGTGTTCACCAGGCTGCAATGTCATATCATACCTGTCTTGAAACATCTCATGTGAACGTAAACACCACAAGAGCAGCAAGACCATGAAATGTAAATCATAACTTTTGAGACATACATGCCATGATTTTCTTGTTATGACTAGTCACTCATGCTCGCCATACAGTCATGTTATGCCATATTGATTCCGGTATGAATACCAATATCCAAACAGCATGGAGAGCTAAAAGTCGTAGGCAGCTAGATAGATAGATAGATAGATAGATAGATAGATAGATAGATAGATAGATACGCTCAAATTCGAAGAAGTTCGCTAAAAACACATATTTTGTTCAAAATTTACTTCTAGTTAACAAAGAAAAACAAATGACTAAAATATCAAGTTTTTCTGTGCAGGGAATGGAGGTATCAGTTGCGCCAATGTCTCTTAGTTGCGTGCGCGGGCGATTGCTTTTCTGTTAGTCAGTGCCATACGATGGAGCCAGGTGGTGAACACGGTGGAGCTAACTGCCCACCGACAAAGCTAGCCATCGTCTGTTTGGCAAATTTCTAATGCGAAGCATTCTTTAGCGAACTTTGGTGACTTTGAGCGTTTCTATCTATCTATCTATCTATCTATCTATCTATCTATCTATCTATCTATCTATCTATCTATCTATCTATCTATCTATCTATCTATCTATCTATCTAGCCACCTACGACTTTTGCCTCTCATGACCGTTTAGAAAATGGTATCGATACCAAACTTGATATGGCTTAACATGACTGTATGAAGAACATATCTGACTATTCATAAAATGAAAATCATGATATGTATGTCATGAATGTCTTCATTGACATTTCGTAGTCCTACAAATCTTGCGGTGGTTTCGTTTACATCGCATGTTGCAAAACCGGTATGGTATGGGATGATTGCATGGCGAACACAAGTGACTGACCCTAATATGATAATCATGACATGCGTGTCATGTAACAATATGACTACATGCCACGCTCATGATGCACTCGCGGCTGTTTCGCTAGCGTCCCATATAACACATTTGGTATTACAGAACGAGAATGAATGACGAAGGTATATGACTGGTGCAAACATGATAATCATGGGATGCGTGTCTTGTAACAACATGACAACATGCCACGCTCATGATCAAGTTGCGGCCGTTTCGCTAGCTTCACTTATGCCAAATTTAGTATGACGTTACGTGAATGGATGGCGAAGGTATGATACTAGTGCAAACATTACAAACATGAGACGCTTGTCATGAAACGACGAGACTACATGCTACTTAGAAGTGTGGCAGCTTCGGCTAGTTGGTATGGCATGACGATAGTTATAGCGCGAGAACAAAACGACGGCACAGAGACAAGAAGTGTCTCTCGTGTCCTTCTTGTCTCTGTGTCGTCGTTTTGTTCTCGCGCTATAACTATCGTCATAGATGCTACGCTCATGATACGCTCGCGGGCCGTTTCGCAAGCTTCACATGTACTAAACTCGGTATTACGTGACGCGAACGGACGGCAAAGGTAAGTGACACATCCAAACATGATAATTACGACATGCGTGTCCTGTAACAACATGACTACTTGCCACACTGATAATGCGCTCGCGGGCGTTTCGCTAGCTTCTCATATGCCGAAATTGGTATTACGTGACGCGAATTAATGACGAAGGTATGTGACTGGTGCAAAGTTGATAATCAAAAGATTCGTGTCATGTGAGAACATGGCTACATGCCACAGTCAAGGCGCCAATACATTTCGACGTGAGGCGGTGCGCATACTCGCCGGCGTTTATTTAGTCGCGTCACATTAGCGTTCCCACGCCAGGTGCCGGTGCTACCTTATACTCGTGGCGCAGCCACGCTGCGATTGCTTCGACGCATGTGTGTTTCAGCGCGTCTGGCGTCCCTCCGTCACGAAAATAGGGAGACACAGCGTTGTCTGCGTAACACATCGGCGCTAAAGGCAGTATTAGAGTGTACTAGAACTCTAGCAGTATGTCACATTTCACTCTGGTTGCCATCAGGCCGCGTGACGGACGCTGGTCGCGTCTGGCGTCAGACTATAGGGTGCCACCTTCACCAAAAAAAAAATATTTGTAATAAGGTTTTCCATTCATTCGCGTTTCCAGCATTCATTCACATTTATTCGTGTGCCCAGCGTAGGTGCGCGTCAACTCTACATTGGAGCATCATGGGCCCTTCATGATGCGCTCGCGGCCGTTTCGCTAGCTCCAGATATACCAAATTTAGTGTTACGTGACGTCAATTATTGGCGAAATATATGACTGGTGCAAACATGATAACCCTGACACGCGTGTCATGTGAGAACATGACAACACACCACGCTTATAGCGGGCTCGCGGCTGTTTTGCTAGCTCCACATATACGAAATTTGGTATCACGTGACGTGAATAGATGAAGGTAAATGACACATCCAAACAATATAATCATGACACGGAAGTCATGTACTGCATCATTTACCTCCACCTCGTAACGTTGTGCTGATTTTAAAGTGACACATCAACATTTCTCATTTGTGCTTCGCGCATCATCGATTCCCACTGTACGTGGGATCTCTGAGCTTTTTCATGGACGTTATGCAATTAGGTGTACCTTACATGAGAACTTGCATAGGATACAGTGCAAGCACAAGATACATGCTGCGACAAAAAACTGGTGTCTGCGAGGAGAAATATTCTCTCGTAAAAGTGTGAGAAAAATCTTCGCGTCCAGACAGCGTGGTGGAGAGAAGGGGTCGAAGTTGTTCAATGGAGGAAGTTCTTGAGATTGTTTTCACCACTAATATTAACAGAACTTTTGCTTACGAGAAAGCATTTCACTGAACGTAGGCCCCAGTGAAAACAGCGAATATGACAGTAACGGTGAACTAACACCTGCTATCACAACTGCAGGGTGTTGTACATCACGTCCCGTCACTTCCGAATATTATTTATCCCTCATAAATAACTCTAGATTGAATGACCTATATGCCTAATCAAGAGGAATATAAAATTCCAGGTTTCTTGTGTATTGATTCTACAAGATTGTCATGAAATATTGTGGACATTATGCAGCAACGCTTGCCGCCAACTCGCTTGCGGTTGGTCAGTGAAGCGCAACTGTTCGAGCGATGAAACAACCAGTTACTGCCATAAATTCCACCTCTCTGCTAACTTCCCTTCTGCTTAAGCGGCTACTTTTGAACAGCGTTGTTTTTCAAGAAAAATTCTGGAACGTGCAATTCTTCACCACTGGAAATTATAGTGTACATTCTTGTCGATATTGATTTTTTCATCCTTCTGATCGAACCTGCAACATCAGAGTGCCATGAATTGCGTTGGCCCTGCAAGAGTTTAGGCATGGCTGTGACACAAATGATACTGAATGGCGTGTTATATGATTCTGCTTCCTTGCAGAAGCCACTCTGTAGTCCTGACAGCATAAATAATGATGGCGTGTTACGTTTGCAAACAATCACCTCCAGAAACATTCAGAAACGCGCTACACCGATGGTCCTACTGGCTAGCGGCAAACCCACGAAACTGGCTTCATACATATGTCGGAGTGCAGTTTTGTTTATACGTCAATGAACTGAATGCAACTTTTTGTAGCAGGCCCAGGATTTCGCAGAGCACCATTCATGGACGGTTAGCGAGCTGAAGTATATTTTTTGACTTCATGGCCAATAATTAGGTGGCGAGCCTATATGGTGTCGCTGTGTATATTGGTATCATATAGACTTCAGTGCGTCTTAAGAATTCACCTCTTGAAAGAGGTACGGGCGGTACGTCCGCCAGTCCTATCTGTACATCTGCCTACAAAACGGTTGATCCTCCTCAGCGTGCCACCTAATTGTCATGCGTAATCTGACCAGCCTGTTCACTTGGTCTAGCCAGATTTGGGCAGGGTTACATCACTTCGCGTACGAGAACCATTGCACATGCGGTAGACAGGGGCGCTGAAAATAATTTTCATTATGGAATAGCCTGTAGTGCTTCAATATTCGCCATGTATGATCGCTGTGACTTTCTCCAAGAATTATCGGGCCAGTTTAGGCTCCGCAAAAAAGTTGTAGCCTATTGGCTCACCCTTTAGGCTTTTCTTCTTTTTGCGTTTCGTGTCTGGCTTGTATTGCGAAAAAAAAACGCTTTGTTTGGTCCTCAAGGATACAATACTTTGAATACAACTTACCGGATATCTGCTAGGACTGTGAGGTGAACGATCTCTGGCTGGCCCGTGCTGGAAAACAAAAAAACATGCACGCGCAGTGTCCGTGAACTCACTCCTGAAATCACAGAACGATGATAAAAAAGGTACAATTAACATTGGCGCTTGTTCGCAACGAATGATTGTGAACGTTTCAACCCACCTGCCGATGTTTCAACCTACCTGCTCAATAGGGAAAGTTGAAACAGCACTAGACCTCCCTGCTCTAGTGGTTTAGGGGCTAAGGTACTCGTTTGCTGACCCACAGCTCGTGGTATTGAATCCCAGCTGCGGCGGCTGCATTTTGATGGAGGCGAAGATACTGTAGGTCCATGTGCTCAGATTCGGGTGCACGTCAAAGAACCCTAGGTAGTCGAAATTGCGGGAGTCCTCCACTATGGCGTCTTTCATAATTATATGGTGGTTTTGGGACGTCAAACCCCACATGTCAATCAAATCAACAGCACTAGACAATACTTAACAGCTGACTTTTCCTTGCACAGGTGCTATGCTATCTCAAAACGCATACTTGTTCAGTTTTGATGGTCGAGGTTTTTCTGCTGGTAACTTGCCCCAACTTTGCTTTCATTTGATCACTTCTTATTATATAGTGCATTGTCTGTTTATCTCTTTGTTAAGAAGGTCTTTTGAGTTGTGTCCGGGGCCTTCTGATGATGAACTCGCGCTGACTAGAAACATTCCGGTCTTCCATTGAGAACAAACTATCCTGATTCCTACCAACCGAAAGCTAATAAACTACCAATTCGGACAATCAGTTTTTTGTTTCACAAATGTTGACGCAAATTCTTGCTGGCTAGAAATAAAATAGATGACTTCACGGATTTCAGTAATCCTGTCAACTCCCAGCCTGAGGCTATTGAATCTTGCTTGCCTGTTCTCGAGCAAGCACCAACTTGGGATAATGCTGCCTACACGAAAATCTGCGCTGCCCAATTCAGAACATCACTTTAATAGTCATCAAGCTCTATTATGAAAGAAGCGTTTTATAAAATCGATCACGAAGAGATTTACAAATGCGGTCTCAAGGAATTGGAAGCAGGAAAATGACAATTCTTTATAGGCCAGCCTGATAGAGTTTTATAGACCCACATAAGGCAGGATTTCCTCAGATCGAATGGTTTCACGTGATTGCTATAACTCGTCACAGCTAATAAAAGATACCACATGTACGGGTGCCAAAATGGCAGCGAATGAATTAATGCGCCAACTTCATTGTCGTGGGCCTGGAAATGAACTCCCTGTTTACCGCCATATTTGTAACTGATTAGGCAGTTGGTATAGTTACTGATTGGCTCTTCGTATGGACATCCATAAGAAAGTTTCGGCTCCTTTATTCTCTAAATACTTGAGTACAGTGCAGTGGGTATGTGTGCCAGGTCATCGAGGCATATTTATAGACGAAGTGGCTGAAGCCCTCGCGCGGAGGTCTCTATATTGTCTTGTTATATTCATAGTAACTAATACCGTCTTTTTTACGGAGGCCCTTCTGTAGATCGTTTTTACATCCGGATTCCATGAAAATTACGTTATTAGTTCAAGAATATGGTCATCTTTCTTGTGCTTGAGGTAATAATCATTTGATGCCCCACCCAGAAATTTAAAGTGTGCTTCACAAAGTTTTGTTTCTGGATTCCCTAATTGAATTCTTCTCAACACAAGTCTGTTCAATTGCCATCTCTCCTTTGCTTTTACTGTCAGGAGCCTGAAAACATTGATAATTTTTTTTCTTTCTTGCCTACGTTTCACAAGCTTTTGGAAACAAAAGAGCATTTTGAAATGTTATTCAGAACTCGAAGCATTATTCCTAATTCTGAAAGCATTATTTTACTTGCAGCATATTCTCTCGGACACAGCAAGAGGGACGTCTGCATAGGATGTTTTTCGAATTATCCTAGGATTTTTCGAACAAGAAGGATTTCTCGTGGGCTTATTCCTGAATGAAGTCTTAGTTCGTTGTGTTCAATTTATTCATCCATTTCCAAAAAATTTCATGTACCTCTTTTATTAGTGCGTGTTGTTAAGCCTATAAAAATTATTATTCTCTAAATACCTGAATATTTTATTTTTAGTCGTTGAATTTCAAAATTTTTATGCGCATCATATCTACCACTGGTTTAACGACCAATCACCTGTAGTGGGCACGAGCCAAAGCATAGGCACAAACAAGTAAGCAAGCATGCAATCAAGCATTCTTGTACACGGGGCGCAATGTTAACGTGACTGGTGTGAACTTCCTCAACATTTTCCGTAAGATATTTTTCATGAAGGTGCAGACTATTTATCCAGCTATCATCTGCTCTAGATATTTCTCGTAACAATACTACAAAGGATACGCCCTCCCATAATTCCTATGCTTGATTCAATAAATTGGTTTAGGCTAATGGGTTTGAATTTGCGTATAATGACTGGTATTGTTCGTATTATTCGTAAAAAGTTACGGGACGCCACTGCAGCCTATTATGACGACGGCCGCATTTTTATTCGAGGCAAAATTCAGAGATGCCTGAGTGCTTAGATGGTGCACTCTAAACAAACCAAGGTAATCAGAGCTTCCAGAGCCGTCCACTGCAGGTTCTCTCATAATTATAAAGTGGTTTTGGGACGCTAAACCCCCAAAATTATTGCTTGGTATATTATAGAATGCACAAAGATGACACACTTCTGCGATGTAGACATTAGATACGTACTTTCTAGACCGGGAAGAGGCGAACTCAGAAAGTAAGATAGCATGAACAGAAGCAATAAATAATGCACACCAGCACACTGTTGACTGAAGCTTTAAAAATATTATCTTAGAAGCCACTGTGCGCGAGCAGTATTTTTGGCGATGTACTGCATATGATAAGACAGTTTACCATTTAGGGGGCAAGCTTGAAAAGCGTCTTGCAATGTAAAAGATAACAATAATATAATTTATGCCTCTTACGATATTTCCTAAGCAACATTTCTGCTGCTCTTTTCTCCCTAAAAGCTGCAAGTCAAGAAAGCTTTGTGTTTAAGAAAATTCTTTATGCACCTAGAATTCGCAACCCCTTCACCAATGTTCCAATCTTCGCTCATAAGGCAACCCCGAACAGTTCTATTCACACTATTTTACAAACTATATTCAAGCTGTAACCTTTATGTAACGCATGGGATAACTTATAAGGCCTTTCGGAACGTCCACTAGTGCGTTGCGGGCCACTCCCACTCCTGAAGAGAAAGACCAAGTTTCTATACTGCGTTGCGGGCCCTTTCGACTGTCCATTACTGTGTAACTGTTGTTGTACTCTGAAGCTTGAAATAGCAGCCTCCTATTTCGACGGCGCGATGACTTCACCACAGCGTAACGTGAGGCACCCTCATAGTATGTGTTGAAGGTTGGATATACCATCGTAGAAAAATTGTATAGGTTGGGTATATTCCAGCATAAATCTTGAGTATAATAGTGAGGTCAGGGTACACGCTGACCTAAGGAAGTCTGAGTGCTAGAGCTTGAGGTCTGCTTGGTTTTTTGCGTGGTACTCGATTGTCTCGGCTCCAGATAAAATATATTTTGTGGGTTGATTTTACAAGATTGGAGGGTCCCGGTTCCTCAAAACATAAACGCCCCCCTCCGTCATAGCCACGCGGTTACAGTCCTCGTGGAGCTTCACGGACTGACTCGCTGAATTTCGGTGGGACTCCCCCAATGGATCCCATATTAGCCGGGAACCAAACGAGTGTGTTAAGTTTGATCTCTTTGCCCTGAAAAATCCACAATGCTGGTTCCAATATTGTGGCCTTGGCAAGTCCTGTGACCACCGATCACGAGTGACTGTAAATTGTCCACCTCCTGTTGCCTAGCAAGGCCAATGCAATTACCGCTTGCTATGCTATTTATGCCACCATGGTCCTGACCTCTGCCGAGTTTGTGAGCGTCCTCGTGGTTAATGCGCACTGCTGCACACGCCTTATTGGGCATCACCAACGAAGCAACAGTATTTAGAGTGTTCCTGAGCCCTTTGTAGCAGAGAATTCACCCTGGCCTGTCTTCTAACCTCCTTATGCTTGGGGTGGACATTTCGCGGGATGGGGACCACGGTGATTTGTTCTCAGTGTTCGCGAGTAATTCTAGGGAAGTGAGACTTGATTTCATCAGTGTAATTCTCAGCTCCTGCAGGAAGTTTCTACAAGAACGCACAGTGAGCAGCTTAGGCGAATTGCACCTCTCCTGTGCTTCTGCTATTTCTTCCAGCGTGTCGTGCATGCCGTCTCTTCGAGCTTGTGTGTATGAGAAGCCTGAGGGCTCTCTTGACGGCCTTTCTGAATAACGTGTGGAGCTTGTCACGCTCCAACCTCTGCCAGTTGTGCAAGGCTGCAAGATAGGTGAACTGACACATCACAAAAACATGCACTACCCTTACGAAGTTGTGTTCTGCAAGATTCTGTTCCCTGTTGGCAACCCCTCGTATCAGTCTTATGGCATTGTCAGTTTTCCTGGCGAATTTTCAATCCGTAAGGTTATCGAAGCCCTTTGATGGGATATGAAACCCAGAACACGAAGGCAGTCTACTCTGGGGATCAAGCTACCCTCACCTATCCAAGAGTCGTGTTGACGTCCTCCGATAGTTGGTACCCTTTCTGTTTGGAGCACCTGCACTTGGGTCTGTGCAGAAGCAGTTCTGGTTTTCGTGGAGAGCACTAAAGTCTTGTTGGTTTTGAGTGACCTCCATGAATGCAATAGTTTCCTGTAGCACGGCCATTACTTGACTATCGCTGTCCCTAGTACATCATATTGCGATATCGTCGGCACAGATAGTATTACCACTGTCATCGACTTTGAAGAATTTTTGAGGCAATCCAACCACAGCGAGACTAAACAGGGCCACTGATAACACTCAACCTTGTGGCGTCTCTTTGAATACAAGCTTTATGGCGTCCAAAGCAAGATAACACATCTTGAAAAGGGCATTTATATCAGTCAGGAATGAAATCATTTAGTCATGTTAGCGCTTGCCAAGCCCAGAGCTCTAGGTCTCATTAAGCAAGAA